ACGCCTCATGGGATGGTACTGTTGTTAAACAGAAGAATGGAATCTGTATTGGTTCTTGTATTGCCCCTTGCTTAAGTGACTTGTACTTAGCCTATCACGACCAGGCCCTTTATGATCGCCTCAAAAATCACCCTGATGTTGTACGTGTGTTTAGATTTGTCGACGATTTCTTAATTGTTTTAAACAATGACTCATGTAGTTTCGACAATGAGGTTTCAAAAATTGTAACCACTTTCACGGAAACCCTTTCTCCATTGGTCTTGACGCATGAAATGCCCGAGGGCAATTTCATTAGGTTTTTGGACTTAGGTATCTACTTTTCATCTGAGAAAGTGTGTTGGAGTTATGAGCCAAGGGGCAATAAGCCCGTCCTGCCGTTTTCCCTCCGCCCATTCAAAGCTCGTGAAACGCGCCGTTGTACAATCCTGTTTTAATAACTCTCTTAGGAAGTCCTGTAATCACAAAGTTGAAAGCAGTTTTCTGAACCAAGCCAAGCGCTTAGCAGAGTCTGGTTACCCAATTTGTGTGCTGAGCTCTGTCGCAGAGGGTTGAGCAGGAAGCTAAAACACCCACCTAAAGGCAGTAATGGTCGTACAGCAAAAAAAGTGGCCGTCGTTCCGTACTTGCATGGTGTATCGCATAATCTCAGAAGGATCGCGGGAAAGGCAGGAGTGGATGTGATCTTTTCAGCTCCCGAACGTCTACATAGGTTGTGTCGACGCGTTAATTCACAGTGTAACAGTGCAAACACCTGCCTTATTAATCATCGAACAATTTTTGTGAACTGCATTCGCAATGTGTTTATGCTATTCTGCTTTCTTGTGGAAGAACCTATATTGGTCAAACTGGCCGATGTATCAATCAGAGATTGAAAGAACATCATTATAATGTCACGAAAGCAATCTCGGGCCATTTGGGCATCCATTGCCGAGATTGTGGATGTATACCCCTCTTCGAAAAAACTAAAATTCTATCTAAGGCTCCTGGCAAAATGACAAGGGAGATTATGGAGGCATATGAAATCGCGAAATTATCTGACATGTGCGTTAGCCAACCATCAGTATCGCTTTCTCAAAAAGAACTTCATTACCTTGATTCGACACAGTGACTTGTACTTTTACTATGTAGTGCAATTTACACGTGCTTGGTTCTACGATGTGATTCCGCGATATGTTCTTTATGTTTATGTTATTTCCGCTCGCTCGGTATATATTTATCGGTTCGTGCGAAAATAAAAGATCAGTTGAAAGTAGCGCTCTGTATGTGTCTGTCTCTTCTACGTCCTTGTCTGTTTTGCGCTTACTCACTCTTAATGGATTCAAACCAACTAGCCCACCAACGTGTTTTGGCGCGCTATCCAGTATTTAAAGGTGGCCATGACACACAGTTTTCCATCATAATCTGTGTTATGTGGCTTAATCCTTGTGCATTCACAAACAGGCTGCCGATATTTTACCGCGTGTGTCCTAGCACTTCGTTTATTATTGAATATATTTTTATAAACTCGCAAGTGCAATGAGAGTCGGGCGACACTACGGCACACGCGCGGGCCGTGACGTAACAAACAGCTCGCTGATCGATCGTCTGCAATGCGGCGAACAATATTGCTTTGTTGTCAGCTGCACGTGAAGTCAATATATTTAGCTGTCTGTTAGCATGGCGGTGAAATTGAACGATTTGAAGCGGCTGAAATTGTGATAGAAGATGAAGGCACCGCAGATGACGTCATAGGCGACATGGCTAAATGGCGGCAGTCGGCAGTGGGCGGGATTGACCACCGGCGACATCTATGGCTTTTTTTGGAGTGAAACATTTTTTTTCCACGGCGCACTTCTCATATCTGCACGGGCATTCAATGATAGTCCCACTGCATAATTTTTGGTGAAAGCCGCAAATTTTAGCTTGACCGCGTCATGACCCCTTTAAGATTCCTTTGTCCCCACTAATTGTGCACCCTGCGCACGACTATGAGCGTGACCTCTTAATCGTATCGTAATATCGACACGTAAAGCCCGAAGTTGAACTAACACGAGCTGGTCACGTGGTCACATGCGCTGCAAAGGGCCAACACACGGATAAGTTTCTGTATGACAGAAGTCACAGGGCACTGCCCCTCGACCAATTGTAAAGAGCCCTTCATAATAATTTTAAAAGTGGGGCAGGTGGCTTGTTTCATGAGTGTTGTCAAATTTATCGGCAATGTCATGATAACGTCGCTCTAATGTATATATATATTTTTTGCTTAAAGGGCCAGTGAAAACGAATGAAAGCAAAAGCGTTTCACGACATACTCCGCGGAAGATCTACCACGCTACCACACGTGTCTGAACTACACTGAGGTAAACACTACGACGAGCGGTTTTTTTTTTGTTTGTTTTACGAACACTGAGCGACACCGCTGTAACGCGTCCAAGCCTTTCCTGAGTAGCACCAACACCACCTAGATTTTTTAGGTGGTGTTGATGGTGTTGGTAGCACCAACACCACCTAAATGAGTTATCTAGGTGGTGTTGGTAGCACTCGCTTCCGGTTTACCGAATTTTCAAAAGTCTCCTGCAAAAAAAAAAAAAACGAGGAGCCAAGCTGACCAATATTAGGCACCTAACGTGGCCTTCTTGGCTGATGCTAGGTGTCCCCTTGGGGTAGGCAGAATAAAGTTGAACCACAGCCTGTCAGAGACCATGCGATAATGTTCCGTGCGATAATGACAGAGTGATATCTCCAGCGCCAGAAACCAATTCGCAAGTCTGGCTATGTGGCGACCCCGCAGTACAAGTTTGGAAGGTTTCGTCACTCGCTGGCATTGCGCAGCTGTGGTTGTTACTAATGAGCAACGGCGCGGAGAGTTTTTCGCGGATAACCAACGCTTTAACCCGAGCTTTAAGAACTTCGCTCTTGAAGTGAAACTGGTGCAAATCGATGGTTCCATTTCAAGATAGGAGTTATATTGGACACTTATGATATCCGAGCACACACTTACTTAAGATAATTAAGGACCGGCGCATTATTTCTATGTCGGCATACCAATCGAAACAGCAGACTGCCTTTCTTGCGAGCAGCTGAGATCGTTGCGACACCTGGCGGAGCACATCTAAAGTACGTGCTTTCTTCGACGTGGCCTCTCAAATGGGCTTCCGCATTGCGAAAAATTAACAAGATGGAATATCTTTGGCAGGGACGTTTCGGCACGCAGACTGGTGTTTGCGATGGCAGCAACCACCCCGACGCTGTTGCCGCGACGACGAATACCAGTGCTGTTGTCGTAACGTTGGCTCGGGAGACATTTCAGTTAACCAAGTTACCTCACATTCCGCCTCAGTCACGCACGCATATGTGCTCTCACCCAGCTGAAGGATGCCGTCAAGGAGTACGCCAGGACAACGCCTCCTCTAGAAGATGCCTGCCGCATGAGAAAAAAACAGCCGCCACACCCTTTCCCTCCTTCATATTGAAAATGTTCTCGGTCGCTAGCGTCACCTGTGGCGGACGGTGCAACAACGCAACACTTTGCATAGCCTCCGAAAGAGTAGTGCGCAGTTGCAGGTCTCGAACAATTCTCGACTGACGCGCCCCTATGGGCCGCAGATGAAAAACGCTCAGCTGGTACCGCCCGTCGCCATGATAATAGTGTCGGTCGCGAGCGCCACCGCGCGGAGCTTCTTTAAAACTGACGGTAGGCCAACTCCGCTGGGAGCGCGAGCCATTCTTCAGGCATCTTTCTAGAGGAGGCGTTGGCCAGGACATACGAACACGTGACCTACGCAACCATCGGCGAATCCTACGAAGGCAGGGACCTCATCGCTGCCCATGTGAGTGAATGGGATCCCCCGTAGATTTTTAAAGCAATGCCCGCATGCCGCACTATCCGTTCTGCCGGAATATCAGATGGTAAACCTAAACGCGTGACGTTAAATCAATGTTGCGGCTCCAGAGTTAACCGATACACAGAGCTTGGACAACTTAGCAACGAAATAGATAATTGATCTGCCGGAATATTACGCCGAAATTCATGACATCACACTTACGTATCGGTTCCAAGGTTTCAAAAAAAAAAAAGAGAAGATGTTGGCAATCATTTCCTTTATTTCGTCAACGACGAAACAAAAAAACAGACATATAACAAAACCTCACCGGCGATAACATGTTCAAAGTGTATTCAACGCACACCATGTTGTTAAGAAACAACTAACCATCTTTTCCCGCGAAAAAACTTCGTTCAGTATTTGGTAAACTACAGCGTTTTCTGCAATATTTACTACAGGAAAATGTGGCACTGCCATCGCTCGGCAATTGAGGGAATTATGGGTGACACGTGGATCTGCTGCAGCCTTCGTGCTTGCGGCTCCAAATGCGCTCGTAGCTTTGTTTATTGTCGTGTTTTGGCTTTCGTTTCGCATATGAGAGCGGCTTGTTTTGAACCTCGTGAGTTGACTTCGCATTAATGAGCTTAAAGGTGTGAGTGAACTTAGGTGGGGTTGTTGAACTTTTTTTTTTTTCAATATTTACCCGTTCTATAGTCAAACACCCACACGGAGGCTAAAGAACGAAGCTTGGACAAATCCACGTATACTACACTGAAACCTAGTTATAACAAAGTTGCTTCTTACACAAAAATAAGTCCGTTATATTCGAAAATTCGCTGTAAAGTTGTATTCCAACCCTAGATGTTTGCGAGACTATTCTTCATTTGCTATGTTATAACGGATACTTCGTTATATCGAGGTTTGAGTGTACTCATCATTCCCAAACTTGCTAAAGAATGGTGCACATGCAGCTCAAAAAGACATTAGGCACTGCATTACTCTGACGTGCAATACTATGGCACTCATTGCTCTAACTCACTTTCTTCTCTTCTGCCCCCCCCCCACCTTTTTAACGAAATGTATTTTGCGCCACATCTAAGTGTACTCTAAGAAATGCTGTAAACTACTTCTCAGAGTACGCCACAATACTGATAACATATTTTTTTCACATTTCTCGTTGGTTTTGCTTGATTACAGATCAAGGCCAAGGAGAACTTGCTTGTAGTTAACGTGCAGTGCGGAATCCACGCCCGCGAGTGGATCTCGCACGCCACCTGCCTGTACATTATTCATCAGGCAAGTATTACGGTTGCGATATAATCACGCGTGAGGTGTTCACGGTTGGAAACGCGGCATCCTCCTTTTTATCATAAGGATCGGTATGCGCACTCGCAGGAGGTGACCACGTGACGTCACTGACAATCTGCCCACTCAAGGTAATGCTGACGTTTACGTAAGTGTTAAGAGTCAATTGATTTGTGGGGTTCAACGTACCAAAACCGCCATATGGTCATGGGAGACGCCGTAGTGGAGGGCTCCGGAAATTTCGACCACCTGGGGTTCTTCAACGTGCACCCAAATCTGAGGAAACGGGCCTACAACATTTCCGCCTCCATTGGAAATGCAGCCACCGCAGCCGGGATTCTATACCGCGACCTGGGCATCAGCAGCCGAGTACCTTAGCCACTAGACCATCGCGGAGGAGCGTAAGTGTTAGAATCGAAGTCACGTCATGATGCTAACACTGGGCGCTTTAAACGTCATTGAGTGCATTAATTGGCCACAAATTGACTTATAAATATAATTACACTTAAATCGCGAAAGAATATACGATCTGTCGGAATAACTCGCAGACTTCAGTCGGAATCTAATCAAGCGTCCTGGTCAGTTCTCGGTACCGTTAAATGCCACCATGCAGTCTAGTAAAACGCTTAGCACGTTCCATCAAAATAGTTAGACTGGCGGGTAACTCCTTAACGATGTACTGTAGCAAAATATCTATTTTGGCTAGATAGTAACGGATGTGCGCCTGTGTTGTCGTTTGCTTCTCTGGTCCCTGTTCTGGTCATTGCATTCCCAGTGATCCATAACGACCTTCTAATTATTCTCTTCAAAGCAACTCGATCACGGCAGTTGGCGACACGCTACGCAAAACACAAAGAAACACGCCACCTGGTGTCCATCAACGCATGGCGAATACACCTGGTGGTGAACCCTGGCGGATACCGTTACACATACACCAAGGTGAGCAACCAGGAAGGCTAAAATAGGGCGGTCGCCTCATGAAAGCAACACTAAAGAGACTGAAGGGACCCTAAACGATCTTTTTTTTTCATATTAGTAAATTACAGTTTTACAGTTCCAATATCTCCCCACTTGATGCTAGAAGACGTTTGGCAAGGTGCCGACGCAACATTCAATGACCCTCACCGAACGCCGTGACGTCACAGGTCTTAACGAGGTCTACTATAGGCCCTGCGTATAGTTCTCAATAATTAAAAATGAAGTACATTGGCCAAGGCCATAAACATAAGATAGCATGTTTCAGGTAATTTCGCTGAGCTGAAATGGCCAAGGTGCGAAAGATGGATTGTGCAATCCATCACGTCACGTGAGTCGATTTCATAGCGAACTTTAAAAATGAAACTCGGGATGCTATTCTGGACACCGTAGAATTCCGCCATATTGTCAAACTTTGTAATAGCGGCATTTTAAGCCAATCAGAAATGTCGTAGCAGCTCACTTGGCCAATCAGCATCGATCAATGGCGAAATCGGACAACATGGCGGAATTCGACAATGTACAGAATAGCACCCTCGGACCTACATTTTCTCCTGTATCGATAAATAAATGGTGGAATCGACGACATTTGAAAATCTAAGAACACAGTTCATCAATGTAAACTGACTCATTGGTTCACAACAGTGTTCCTTTAGTAGTGCATGCGCAGATGGATCTAAGGAACGGGAGAAAAGCAGGGATGCTAACCAGAAGCAGAAGCGTGAGTTGTGATAGTTTGTAGACGTAAATCGTGTGATTCAAGCGCAGCAGTGTTGAAATACGCAAAGTAAAAAGGCGTAACGCTGACAGTAAGTCAGCGATGAGTCCATTCTTTCTTGCTGTCCCTATTCTGGCCTTGTTGATTACCCCACGATGTTAACCGGTCTTAGAAAACTTCGATGTGGTATGCATTCTCAAATTATGAACGGTGCTTTACCAGTATCCCTTAATGGTATACATCGCAGCTGGCTCCTAACCGATACTAACGCAATAAATCTAGAAGCTTATGAAAAAAGGTTTTAAACTTACGTTAAAGACGACGTAGCGAGCCGATGGAAGGAAAGATTAGAGTGGGACAAGGGACAAAACCGGTGTTAAGAATATCTTAGTCGAAATCAAAAAGAGATGGTCATGGACATGTCATGTAGCACGTAGGCAAGATAACTGCTGGTTATCTTGAGTAACAAGTGAATTGTAAGAAAAGGCAAGTGCGCGAGGGGAATGCAGGAACTTGGGTGGGCAGATGAGATTAAGGAGTTTAAGGATAAAACGTGGTCAGAGCAAGCACAGGACCACGTTGAATAGAGGAACATAAGAGAGACAGATAGGTAGGAACATAAGATAATGACAGAGACAGCCACGAATCGACGTCTTGCCCGCACCCAGACAAGGAAGCAATGTTCTCTTCTTTCTACACTTCCAAGCGATTTCACGCTACAGTTGATGGCTCATACCCATTCACCTGTCGCAATATTGATGTGTGTTTTTGTGTGCATGCTATACGAAAAGCTGGAACATTTTTGAGGGAGTGGGGCGGGTGGGGTAGTCGAACCCTCCGGGCTGCGCCAACGGCTGTTACAATTGACGTCTTGTCCAGGATCGTTATTGGAGGAATACCCGCTCAGGGAACAGCACTTCGGCAGAGTGCCAGGGAGCAGATGCGAACCGAAACTTCGACACCCCCGAATTCTTTTGCACTTATGAAGGTAAGGCTGCAGCTCCAACACAAATTGAACTCAAATAGTGCGAAGTTCACATGCGAGATGTAATCGGCATTCATTCAAATGGCGAAGGAAACCACTCGAATGATCCTGGGCCCGCATTTGGACTGGTCGGTTCGTCTAAAAGAGTGAAAACTGCTTTAGACGAACCAACCAAATGCAGCCTAAAAGAGGATTTTTTTTTTCACTCTTTTAGACAGTAACTTTTCTTTCTATTTGTTTTCTTTTTATTGTGAGCTGATACTAAATATGCGGTGTTTCGCTCTGTTCATTATTCACCCACACTGTTATTGTTAAGATATAAAATGCTAGCAAAAATATTCACACTGTTCCTAGTTTTGTACATATATTTTTCACTGATCTCTGTAGTCTGTATTTTGTATTGTGAATTCTCAGAAGCAAAATCTGATGTAAACTCTTTCCTCGCCACACTGTCATGGGGCGCAACAGAGTTTTTCTCAAGCCGCTGTATATGCGGCTTTTGTTCTTGCGTCAGCTCTCTCCTTATGTATCCCGAAGTGAGAAATAAGGATTTCAACAGGAATAAAACAACAGCACTAAAAATGCGGGACAAGAAAGGATACTACAATACGACGCAAACATCGAAATGTGTTCATTCCTCCTGCCCCGCCGCGGTGGTCTAGTGGCTAAGGTACTCGGCTGCTGACCCGCAGGTCACGGGATCGAATCCCGGCTGCATTTCCGATGGAGGCGGAAATGTTGTAGGCCCGTGTGCTCAGATTTGGGTGTACATTAAAGAACCCCAGGTGGTCTCAATTTCCGCAGCCCTCCACTAGCTACGGCGTCTCTCATAATCATACGGTGGTTTTGGCACGTTAAACCCCAGATATCAATCGATCAATCAATCAATCAATCAATCAATCATTCCTCCTGTCAGCATATATGTAGACATACATATTTCTCCACTATCGCAATGAAACAATACGAAAATGAACCCCGGCCTGTGCAGAGCAAGTAAAGCGACCAATGGGACACAAATTCTATCTCCCTTGGAATGAACGAAATCGGAGAGAGAATCACACGGGCCTCGTCACTATTGTGGATATGATAAGCTTCTGAAATAAGCCGTGTGCGCGTTCATCTTGTTTTCTTTGCCAGAAAGCTCGTTATCTCTGACAGATGGCTCGCAACCGCGATTGTTACCGTGAAGATAAGATTGCCTATCTGTAGCCTGTTATTGAACCTTGTTCGATCGACTTTTCGCGCACGGGAGTAGTCGCGAACCACCCTGATTGACCAACTTCATAAAGCCCGCAAGAAAGACGAATCTTGTGTACACAGCCATTTCGCAGCATTCAACAAATTTCCGCCCGCGCCAATTCTTTATTACATCTTTGTTCGTCCCCTATATTTCGATTTACTTGATGGTAGAGGCTACCAAGCTTACTTCGGAATGAGAGCAACAAACAAACCCGCTGCCCTGCCGACAACTTTCTTGAGATTGTGCGCAGTGTAGACCAGTTTGTACCCTCAAGGGTGCTTTGCCGTCTTTATAACACCTTACAATAAGGGTGTATTTTCTCAAAACACCCGTATTTATTTATTTATTTATTTATTTATTTATTTATTTATTTATTTATTTATTTATTTATTTATTTATTTATTTATTTATTTATTTATTCATTCATTCATACTGTCAGCCCAAGGGCCAAGACAGAAGTTGGGGTTACATATCTGGCACGTACAAAGAACATGTGTGGAAACAAGTTTCACATTGTACGCTCAAGACGCACACTATATGGAAATAACAAAACAAAAACGCAAAACTATATCAGAATACATCCCGCATAGGTCACGGATAAAAGAAACATGTTCGAATACATCTCGTACACGTCACCAAAAAGAGGAAAAAGATTTGAAGTGATATAGCACATATTGAACATATTGATAAACTACATTGAACATATTCTACCGACAAGGAACAAGCAATTTGGTTACAAATATTCTGACAAAGCCTTTTGAAACCTTTGTAAATCGCAATGTTCGACTATGTATTGAGGTAATTGATTCCAGTCATCGATGCTCCGTATTGTAGGGTGTTAGGTATACAGACACGGGAAGTTAGGAGTGTGGAGTGATTTACTGTGTGCGCTACTTCGTGCACACAAGTGCACTGTTTGATGATACCGGTGCGTCTCGATTTGTACAACAGCCGAGCGGTTGCTTTTAAAGCCTGCTACAAGACTTTCGGCTGTGTCTCAGACGCCCATCAGAAGCTTATACCATATATCCACAATAGCGATGAGGCAGGTGTATAAGCCTCCCGTAGATTTGCCCCCTTCCAAAATAGATAGAATTCTTGGTGAGCCCCGCCGCGGTGGTCTAGTAGCTAAGATACTCGGCTGCTGACCTGCAGGTCGTGGGTTCGAATCCCGGCTGCATTTCTGATGGAGGCGGAAATGTTGTAGGCCCGTGTGCTCAGATTTGGGTGCACGTTCAAGAACCCCAGGTGGTCGAAATTTCCGGAGCCCTCCACTACGGCGTCTCTCATAATCAGATGGCGGTTTTGAGACGTTAAACCCCACTTGTCAATCAATCACCAATCAGAATTCTTGGTGCATCGACCGCTTTATTGCCTCGGCGCAGGCGGAGTCTTGATTATTATACATATAGCTGTATTGCGACACCAGATATATTGATGAGGAATAAACACATTTGGTTGTTGTCAGTGTCATTGTCTTCTGTCCTTCATCGTCCAGTTTTTTTCAGCGCTGTGCTTCCAGTCATACTCACGAATGGATTGAAAAAAAAATACGTTTAGGTCATTTCTGGCGTGGTGCTATATTTGTCACCTTAAAGGAGCGAAATAATGTTTTTCGCATTCCTTTTCCTCGAAAAAGCGCCGGTTCTTGCCAATAGGTGACGCAGGTCGAGCGTCCCCTGCCGACCCGTGCTCCCTCACGTTCTACGGAGACTACGCCTTCTCCGAAATCGAGACGCGCGCCAGTCGAGACGCCCTGTTGGGGAACCGCACAGAGTTCTTCTTCGACTTACACAGCTACGGCACGATGTGGATGTTCCCCTGCGGTCACACCGACGCCCGAGTTCCCGAGTACGACCAACTGGTGAGTGATCTAATCACGTTGATACCATGCTGCATCATACGTTTTTCAGCCTATAATATATATTTTTACTTTTTATTCCTGGTCAACACGCCTCATAAATAATGCATTTTCATGAGTTTAATACGCTCACGTTTTTGTCCACAATTGGAGACTACAATCACGAAAGTTGGTCTTCATCGATATAGCTAGAAATCTCACGCTTATTATAAGGTACACTATAGCTAAAACCGCGATCTGCACTTTGCAGTGTCATAGAGGACGCAGCAGCGTATGTTGTGCGGCGAAAAGATCGCTTTCAGGTGCAGTTATTTTATTCAGGGGCATTAGGTGCAGTGACACTGTACTGCCAGGAGCAGCTGCTGCTTTCAACGATGATGATGCGCAAAATGATGCACTTCGCCATCTGTCGAGAAGTTAATTGTATTACACAAGCATGAAACATTTCATTTGAATAAAGAAATGCGAATGATTATAAAAATCTACACGTTCCTGCTTTTTATATGGGAAGCGGCTTACGCTGGAGCTCAATCCGGTGTGCGGCGTGACCACACTTACAGCGCATGCGCAGCCCTCCCGCTCCTCGCCTGCGCTGCCCCCTATCTTTCGAGTCGCCGGCGCAGGCAACGAAACGCCTCCTCCGCAGTGGCCATGGATGGCAGTGGCGCGTCCACGCTTCCACTGCGCATGTGCATTCCCTGCCCCTCTCTCTCTCTCTCCTCTCCTACGCTCCCTGTGGTAACGCGTTTTTGTGAGACAGAGCGCGTCTTCGTTGTTCGTAGGCGTTGATCGTCGGCCCCATCTCACGTAATGTCCCCTCGAGCGTCCAAACTGATCGGCGGCGTGAACACCGGTGACGCAGGAAACCATCATGCCATGACATTGTGTGACGTCACCAAAACGTCGCAGGCTGCAAAAATTTGTGACCGGCCCCACATCAGATCGCGTGACGCCACACGATGACGCAATCACAGGAAATCGTCGCTTTGGTAAAGGTGGGGCCAGAAATCTTCCAATTTCTCCGATCCCGGAGGCTATAGGCGTGCGCAAGGGGTGGGGGAGAGAGGGGGCGCACAGCCATTTCTATACAATGACATATTAGGGAGGGCGAGGCGTAAAGAGGGGGTGTAAAGTCAGTCCCGTGCATTGATATTATTTGGATGGTGACACTGAAACAAACATTCGCCCCCCCCCCCCCCCAGAAGGGCAATCCCGCACACGCCTATGCCGCAGGCAACGCAGAACTACTTTGGGTGTAGGAAGATTCGAGGAAGAATGAGTACAATCAACTCGGGAGAAAAATAAAATGATTTATACTTAAGTATCCAATTGCATAAGGAACCGTGTGACTATTTTTTTTTCTCTGTTCGAGCACCGGTGGAGAGTTGCACAACGGACGTTTGTCGATACGTGTTTCGAGAATTGTGTTGTGAAGTCTACACATAACCTGCCAGTGTGCGCAGCTTATACGGCAGACGTTGTTTCGCCGCGGATTAGGGAAGAACCGGTAAGCTGGTCGTAGGAAGCTCGAATCTCAGAACTGGACTTGTGAAGCCAATTAGCCACCATCGATCATGCCCGGCGAGCTTTAATGGCCAGCCAGTGGGGCTCAGGATGAGGGGCTCTGCATAAGGGCTCAGCATGAGGAGCACCACACACACTAAGCAAGGAGCCCTTGTTTATTAACGTTCTCTCTCTCGCTCTTTCGCTCTCTTCGTGTATTTCTTCATTGCAAGCAATGAGCATTGACAACAACTCACTCACTCACCAGTTTTACCGTAACATACCAGCATCGAAGACTTTCCTTAAATTATTCTTAGCCTGCATTTTCAAAACCTACTAACGCTAGAAGCATGGATGTGCGTACCAGGGGACGTGGGAAAGGGCGTGGAACGGGGAGCTGCCACCTCCCCCCTAATCATTTTTAGGGGGAACCGTCAATCCTATGCCATGCCATTACTTCGTCAAAGCTGTCCATTTTTAAATAGCGGGGCTATGGCAATCCTGGTCTCCAGCTATAATGGCAACCGAGTACCCCCTGATTTCGCAATCCAGGAACTTTATTTCCCACCTTCGTTCTCAGCAATGGACCGTCCAGCAGGCCCACGAAGCGGCCGCCAGGTACTCCCTGTCGGTCCATACGTGGGAGACGCCCGCTAAGCGCGTCCTGCAGGACTGAAATGAAGTGTTTTCATTCCATTCATTCGTTCTCAGACAACCACGGACCAATGGCAAGCCGCTGCGAGAAGCACGTCGCTGCTTCGTTTTCGAATTTCCGCCTTCCCTACAGCCCCAGAATACGTACGTCTTCAATTCAAATGGTTTCCTTTCGATTTCATTACAACTGAACATTTCCCGCAGAGCAGCGGAAGCCATTGAGAAAGTCAACGGTGCCGTCTACAAGGTTGGAGCGATGTACGAGACGATATGTAAGTGGCCAGTGACATGTCATGGTTTAGGAGTTCCCGCATTTAGTTCTGCTGAGCACTTGAGAAAAAACATAGCCCCGAGCCTGCCTCCTTTTAATTCTACCTTTAAAAAAGCGTTACGTCATTTCTGCAATAAATGTGAAAGAATTTGTTGTTGTTGTGTATACCTGCCCTCAAGACATAATACTTTACGCGTGTATGTCTCCTAGATGTTTGCTGTATAGGTCAGTGTGGCGTTTGAAACGAAGCATGCATTGGCTTGTGGAATCCTATGCATCCCGCACAAATCATGAAAAAAAAAATCACCACGAAATGGCATCGTCACGATGTCATGCATAGCAAACGTTTTAACGTCATCATCGTGCGAAAGAACGTGTCGACATATGATGACGTCATCGCATGACGTCGTCGCTAGGTCACAGGAGGTTCCGATCACGTTTTGGCTTGCGATGCCTCCAGTCACGGAGGCAATGCTAAACTACGTTAGGTGCACAAGGCATTGAGAACGTGACGAGCGAGTATTAATACATCAACTAATTAAAATAATACGACGATGACTTTTTCCATCGAATTGTTCTAGACGAGTGCTTGAAGCGTGAGCAACCGACCATGAGCGTTTTTTTTTTCTTATTGTAGCACGCAACCCGATATGGCTGGCTTGGGACCCCTTTAAAGGAGAATTACACAAAACTTTCGCCCCATTGTTGTCGTCGTTCTTCTTCTCTTTCTTGTGGTTGTAATAGGTAGCTCAAGACTTATGACGTACTTATCCCGGCTGGACAACCTCGTTTGCGCAAGTACGCGACGGTTATTTATTTACAGACGCGCCTAGAGCGCTCAGTCGTAGTTTCGGTTTCAAAGAGCACCGAGCTAGGCAGAAGCAGTTCCGGGAGCAAGGTAAACACACTTGGCCACGTGACCACGCAAAACTGTGACGTGGGAGCCCGCGCGAGAGTATGCGCGAGCGGGTGCCGCACTGACAGCCACAGCACATGCGAAGACGAAGACAAGGAGAACCGAATCGCAGGTAGTGCAAACGCAAGGCTCGTCTAGCAACCAGCCAACAGAAACTCGTGACGTAGTTTGTTTACATTGCCTCCGCGTTGATGTCGGATCCGCAAGGGGCTCCGCATCTCGCTCAGTCGCACGGGGGCGTGCACATAAAAATTCATTTTAAATATGTTCTAGTCGATATTTTCTTTTGATATTTCGTAGACGTTCGTCTCTAGCTATAGGGTAACTTCTTTGAGAGAAAGATGAATGCAGCACTAAAAATTATTCCAGATCCGATGTCCGGAGGCAGCACAGACTGGGCGTACGACAAGGCAGGCGTAAGGAAGTCCTTCAGCATCGAGTTGCAGCCCAAGCAAAGCCGTGTTTGACGCGGTCTTTGGTATCCTGCTTCCGTACAAGGGCATCCTCCCGACCGTCACTGAGGCATGGGAGGGCATCAAGGCGGCAGTCCTATACTGATGCCGTTGGTACCAGGCATATTACCGCGTCGCTGGATTTAGCATCGATGTCATCAGTTCACAAGGCAACGCAAAGAATCACTTGGACGGTGAAATACCAGGACGGGACACCTCGCTATTTCTACATCCATGCTCGACTATTTGGTGGACCAAATGGCCCGCCAAATGGTCCATCAACTTGTGCATTTGATGTCATCAAAATTGTTTTGTTGTAGCAAAATATTTATAGAGTAATGCGTTCACATGGCACATTCAGGCTGTTGTATTAATTGCATACACCATGCCGAACAAACGCTGACCTTCCAATTACGACTACAGTCTAAAAAAATAAAGTATTTTTACTCTTTCTGGCGTGTCTTCACTTGCCACTCTCTTTAGAGATACACTCTCTTTTTGGAGAGTAGCACCTCGCAAAACTCTCTAAAGAGAGTGTAATGGTCTTTAGAAGAGTTAGAGTGCGCCGCTAAAGCATGGCAGCACAGAGCGCACTAGAAAGAGTGAAGGGTATAGATGGATAGATTAAAACAATTCACAGCATATCCACCGAATTATGTTAATGGGGCGAAACGTCCCTCCGTGCTTCCGTTCGCCCGTCCGTCAACTATAAGAAAACCACCAACGCCATCTATTGAGCAATTCATAAAATAGAGGTGGCTACATACAACTACTACTACTGCTACTACTGCAGAGGAAGGAACGACCCACAGCCTGAGAAGCTTCAACCGTAAATATTTATTTCAAAAACTTGATATGTGCCATTGTCATGGACGTGACGTTCTAAAGATTCTCGTTAAATTTCGCACGAAGAGTGGATACATAATCAAGTATGTAATGTTTAATGCTCCTTGACTGGCAATGTCATTCCCATCACCAACATTCTTTTTATAGGGGTAATGACACCATTTTTTCAAAGTCACGTTCACTCTGCCATAGTAATCTCCTGTTAACAGAGACTGCTCTAAGGAAATGTGACGCTCGGCAAATGTTGATATTTTATTTTCGTATAGCACGTCCCCAACGTAGCAATGGTGCGGAGCGGCTGTGAAAGCGCCAGAATATTTGGCACGGGACGAGAAATTCATACCATGCTGTGACGTCAGGGTACAGTAAGAACCAAAACTAGATTTCAAAAACCATGACGTAATTGCTTTTTCAGGGTAAACTCACGCTTAAGCACTACATTTTCGAAACTCTCGAGTGATTGGCTTTTAATTTAACGCAAGAAAACGACAAATGATAATCGGCGTCTCAGTAAACATTCAAATCTCAATGCTCACTTCCCATTTACAGTAATGAATAGGAGTCGACAGCTTTGCTTCAGACCAACATCGCTTTTTCCTATGCTAAAATATTATAAAAAATAGGCGACGCTAGCTTGTTGAATTAGGTGTCTGATAGGAGCACTCCCGCGTTGGAGTTACTGAGCTTCGGCGAATTCCTTTAACTAGCCTTTCAACACTTTTCGTGCACGGTCGTAAAACGCTGCCGATCTGTAGTACAGGGAGCCAAATATTATAGCGCAGCACAAGGCCTGAAATTCACAATAAAGTTTCCAAAGTCAGCTGAAAATTGCGCTATGTTCTGTCTACAAATGACGGAAGAAGCTCGAAAATGACTCGTCACCGCCGTTTTATCAGCCAGCCATTGACCGATTTGAACATGACACTCTCGGTCGTTACAGCGTTCGCCGCCAGAGGCCGCGATTTGTCCACGCGTGCGCGCTCGAGCGCACTGAAAAAGCCACATCCTCGAACAAAAAGAAAGAAAAAAAGTGCCCAAGATACTTTTGGTGTCAATGAGCCGCAAGGCTCACGCACATTTTCCACTACGCCTTTCGCGCAACTATTTGCAAATGGCGGTAAAAAAAAAGCGGTTCTATGCAACCGAAGTTCCCCACCTGGGCGCAACAAACATCCGTCGTCACAAAGAACGGCTGCTCATATTGCCACTGGCCCGTAAAATAAGCTGACGTTGAGTTCAGAAGTGTGTGACTGGTGTCGCGCGACTGAAAAATCAAGCAGCAAGCGACCAACTAAAAGCAGACGCTTTGCGACTTAAGCTGCCAGTCGCAGGTGTGAACCAGCCTTCCCTGAGATGCGGATGCTGTTGTGATATCGACTATGGTTGTACTGACGATGCTATTGTAAAAAAAAAAACGGCCCCGTATCTGCATGTAATCTGCAAATGTCGACGAAAGACGATAGTCATACGTGTGGAGAGACTGAACAAAACATTTATTTGATGTTTTGCGCAAGAAAATCGGTGAATGGTGTTCCGGAGGCGCTGCCTCGAGCGTGCAGCGGAGGCTCATGAGCGCATCAAGTCATGTTACACGTGAGCCATGAGCGCCATCTGGCAGTTTCCTTTGAAAAAAAAAGCGCGCGGTCGTGCGCGCCTGTTTCAGAGGTGATAAGGTGTAGAACGCGAGGCGACGTGTAGGTGCCGCCACCATATCGTCTTAGCAAAGCGTTGGAAACACTTCCCGTTCCGTGCAAGCGTTGCGTGGTAAGCGCAGCGTGATAAGCGCTGCGGTGCTTAAAATCACTTATGTATGCGTTTTCTAGTAAGAAATGCATATGCAGAATATATGCGTGTTATAGTGCCCCAGACATGCGCAATAATTGGTTTTTAATTGGTTTTTAGATGCGGAAGCATCTTATACTCGCGCCTTGTAGTGCGCCGTCCGCGCCGTCCGCACCGCTTCTCGAGCATTCGACAGCTGACGCGCGCGCATGCGCCGTCGCGCCGTCGCCCACTCTTCCACCATCTGTGCATCCCTTCCTCCTCTACACACCGCGCGCGCTTCACTCCTCCACCATCTGTGCACCCTTCCTCCTCTACACACCGCGTTCGACATCTACAATTCTCCTGATTCTCCAGTGGACGCGCATGTGGCGTCGCGCTTCGAGAACATTCAACAGCTGACAGTGCATGCGCCGTCGTGCTGTATATATACTCAAGGTCGGCGCTCGCTCGCTCAGTTGCCGCTCGTCGGTTGGTTTGTACGGCGCGTCGACGTCCAAGGTCGCGGTGAAATGAATTCCAACGAATCCACAAACACAATGATCGACGTCCCTTCGACCAGCGCCGCCCTTTTGCATACGTGTGTACGTGTTCACTCATTTAACACCCCCTCCTACAACCACGTTAACCAATTTAGCCATCGACCCAAGTAAGTCGCACTTTAACACCCCGTTAACCAATTATATGGTCCGCATCCTCCTCAGTGTTCCCCCGAGGGAAGCTGCGGGCAATTTTTTAATGCATGCTCAAGGTGACGCACAAGCGTAACCTTGAGCATGCATTGGTGGTTGCTGCGGATGGGGTCAGCCGTTTCAAGTACATGATACCGTTAAGTGGACAGACAAATGTAGACAGACAGACAGACCAAAATTTTTGCGTCGAAGGTCCCCAAGAAAGACGATCGTCTTTAAAAAAAAACGTAGCTCACCAACATGTGTGACACGCAGGTGTACGATCAGCCGGCGTGCCCGGACAAGTGCGCGGCTTCCCGGAGTTCCTTGGGGCGTCGGGGTCGAGCTTGCCCTGGGTACAGCTCTTCGAGAAGGCCATCCAAGTGGCCAAAGAAGGAGCGCCCTTATCGCCAGAGATGGCGCGGCAGCTGACACGGCGACGGACACGTGTTCTTGCGAATCCGGATCTAAGGTCTGCTTTGCCCGACTGCTTTGGAGGAGGAGGCACGGTAGTCGGGTGACGAACCACAGTTGTTATAACTGTCGATACTGCGCCACGTGATGTCTTTGACGCGACGGAAGTGCGCGCTTATCATTTGTGCCAATCGTCTTTACATGCGCTAAAGGAGGCGCCTAGTGTGATCACGTGCGAATGATGGTGCCGCATCCCGTTCCGTTCTCGTAGTGATAACGGGTGCAAGTCGGCGCACTGCCGGCTAAAAACAGTGTGCAGCACCGAGATGCAACTGCTCTTTCGTCACACGAAAAAAAAAAAAATCACAGCATATCCACGGAGTGAATGATGATTGGTGGGGCGCAGCGTTCGTCAGTCTGTCTCTCCATTCGTTCTTGCGTCCGCCAATCTGTGTGCATCCGTCCGTTTGTTCATTCGTCTGTATGTCCGTCCATCTCTTTTTGCGGCCATCCCTCTGTCTGTCCATCCGTCCGTGCGCCCCTCTGCCTGTCCGTCCGTGCGTGTGTCAGTCCGTTCGTCCGTCCATATGTCTAGAGAAAACTCCAAGCACAGCCTTCTCACATCTTTTCATCATGTATTCATCATATACAAGTGCCCCCATCCAGCAGACATTGTAAGGACCGCTATTTCGGGTATGTGCCACTGGTGGTTACGTACTACGAGGGACGCACAAGCCACACCATAAGGAGCTTCGCCCATAAAAAAAAGACACGCCCACACGGCAGCTACGTCTGTAGGATATTACCACCGGCCGCGTAGGGCCCCAGTACTGCCCAAATAAAGTGGTTGCCCCAATACTGCCTTCAAGTTCCTGCGGTACAAGTTGGGCCGAGACTGCGCAGCGGTGGATAGAAAAAATTAAGTGGAGTGAATGTGAGGATATAATCACCGGGAAACGTTAGTTGAATGTGGAAAGGCTGCCATGTGGTAAATACTATGTCGAGCAAACCGAAAGGTGTTTGAAAAACCGTCTAATGGATCACAGGGCATCGCTGAAGGCCCACTCTTCGTCAAATGAGTGCCTACATTGCATAGATTGTAGGTGTCCCCATTGACTTCGCGAAACAAAAGTGCTGTCCCGGCACAGACATAGGACAGCGAGATAAGTTGCTGAGGCCTTCGGTCACATTGAACCAACTAGAGATGAATTATGTAATTGCCGACCTGTAATATTTTACATTGTTTCTTCATTTCATTTATTAATACTGTTAGCCTTTCAAGCGAGTCGTTACAGGGTGGAA